ACTATAAAAACTTATATTTTTTATGTCTACTTTTTCATACATTTTTAATACATCAGGAACACTTTTTATGTACGCGTATTTAATTTTCCAAATACATGATTAAGATTTTTTGGAAACTTCTATTTTTTTTATGTCTACTTTTTTCATACATTTTTTATAACATATATTTTTTATATCTACTTTTACCAACACATTTTAGATTTTTTGCATACATCAGGAATGCTTTTTATATACATGTTTAACAAGTTTCAAATATATGATTAATATATTTTTCATATATATGTTTTCATGTCTACTTTTCATACACATTCAAAAAAATTGTATACATTAGAAACATTTTTCATGCACGGTTAACATTTTTCAAATGCGCGACTAACAATTTTTCATTTTTGTGTATAATGTGATTTTTATAATAAAAATATTTAGAATATTTTAAAATATAAGAAAAGTCAATAATAATAATAATAATAATAATAATAATAATAATAATAATAAAGCACAAACGAATGAAAAATGTGAGAAAAATAAAGAAAAAAGTGTTGAAGGACTATGGTCCGTGCTGGGTCGGCCCATTCTTGCGGCTGCTTGACGCGAGACTGCGCTATGTCTTAGGACCTCCTTGTTAGCGAAATCACTAATTGAGGAGTACTCCTTCGAAAGATCACTCCCACCTACCTAGGTGTGATAAGTGACGTTGGATGTGCGCCACTTGTCACAATCTAAGATTTTTTGTTTTTTGCGTAGATCCGTTTATTCAAAATGTTTACCTCTTGAACCATGCGTCTAAATCTTGAACCGTTTTCATTATTGGATTACACACGTCAAGATCTTCAAAACTAGATCCCATGTTGATAGGTTTTTTTAAGAATTCAGAACATGTACTGAATGTTTAGAGGAATAGGGCTACAAATGACTAGAGTCGGCTTCAACGTTGTTTTCCCTCTGGTGAACTTATTTTTGGATTCTTGTGTAAGAAGGCCCCTACCCCTAGTCTAAGATATGCAATTTGTACGGAAAGTGCACGGGTAGACCACTATCAATATTTCTAACAACTCTCCTTCGCACGACGAGCACGATGGCAGCAGCATGGAGGGGTAACAAGGACTTGTCCTCGCTGGTTCCACGGCCTCACCAACCACAGCTATAGCTACAAGGCAACCAATTTATCTTAAAGTCCGAACGAATGGAGAGATATGGGTAGATTGCAGAATCTTTTTTTTTTGTTAATGCCTCGTTGACAGGATCTTGAACTTGAGATCTGTTCCGATTTGATGAAGGGATGCGGGCGATATATTTCAACAGCTGCCCATACCTAGCCTAGCTTGGTTGTGTGGTCCATCGTGGCGGTGAAGTTGGTGTTGTCGAGGCATGTACCAGGTTCACATTTGAGATGTTTTTCATGGTGTCTACCTCCACACAAGTAGAAAACAGGGCTTTGGTCCAGGCCTGAAGAGGGCATTAATCCCGGTTCCCCTGCAAACCGGAACCAATGGGAGCATTAGTCCCGGTTCATGAGGCCAGGGGGCGGCTGGGCCTTGGGGGCCAATGGTCCAGGTTCGTCTGACCCCTTTGGTCCCGGTTCCATAAATGAACCGGGACCAATGAGCCTCGCTCCTGACCCACAATCTTTAGTCCCGGTTGGTGTCTGGAACCGGGACTAAATAGAGGCCTATATATACCCCCAGCCCGCGAGCAGAGGAGTGCACTGCTCTTTTTTTTTGACAGCCGTGGGATAGCATTGTCGTGCTCTAGCTCACATCCTATGCACATGAGGTGTTCGATGAAATGCCCGAACCACACTTTATAAGCTTTCTCCTCTCAAAGCTCCTTGTCGAAACTCCTTTTTCCTCAAGATTTGTCTAGGTTTGGCGGTTCATCCTATCCCATCCCCGTCCTCACCGTCGATCGCCCATGCCGATCTCGTCGTTGGCACCACTGTGGTGATCCTCTTGTTTTTATCTTCTTTCTAAAAGAAAAAAAATTCTTACTTGTATGATTTAGATTGCTACTTGTATAAATTTACTTTTATTATTGTTTGTTATTATATACTGCGATGGTTTTCGTATCCATCCCCATCGGCCCTCGTCCTGTCTTGGTTCGGTTGTGGTATATACTATCTTTTATAAATATTTCTTTCATTTAGTGTTTATGACAATTGTGCCGACCAATGTGACATAGATGTTTTATGTAGGAGCTATGTGAACCAGAAATTCCAACTGACCCTCTTGTCAAGAGGTTAAATTTAGTTGAAAAAGGAAACGATTACTTGAAGAAAATTTTGAAAAAAATTGAGGTGGAGAAGATGGCATTGGAGTTGCATGTTGCCGATGTCGTCGATGATCACAAGATCAAGATGGATAAAATGCGCTTGAAGATTAGAAAGATTAAAAAATATGACATTCATACTGAGGCTTGGTATCATTATACCGTTGGATCAACTGTTGCCTTAGTTGCGATTATGATCGCATATGTTATTGCATTGAAATATTTTACATAGTTTTAATGTATGGTTTAATTAGATACTCTAGAGAGTTATATGTTGTTCAACGAAAAGTATGTATGAACTTTATGTATTTATTTTTTTCAATAATAACATTTGATCATTATTATACTTTGATTTAATGTGATAATGAAATCCTTTTGTAACAGATGAGTTTTCGTCTGAAACCCTGATACTTCAAAAGAGATTATCCGTTTTGCACACGAAGTGCATCCACTCATAGGAAAACGGCTATAGATGAAATGGACATGTGGTGCACCATTAGTATATAGCAATGGCGCACCACATACAGGTGCGCCATTAGTAATATATTACTAATGACGCACCTGGTGTGTGGTGCGCCATTATAAGTTTTGTAAATAATAATAATAATAAAATTTGTTACTAATGATGCACCGTGGGACAGTGCGCCATTACTAGTTGACATAGTAATAGCGCACCACACCCACCATGCGCCATTAGTAGTTTTGAAAAAAAGTAAAAAAAAAATTGTTAGTAATGGCGCATTGTCCACCGGTGCGCTATTACTAAGTTTTTTCAAAAAAAAATCAAAAAAAATTCAATTTTTTTTAAAACTAGTAATGGCGCATCACCCCACGGTGCGCCATTACTAACTTGGCCCAACACCGAATGCACCCCTCCCTAGACCGCCTTTTCAGTTTAAAAATAAATAAAATAAAATGATGGAAATGTCAAAAAAATAAAAGAAAATAAGTTTTCCGTGTAATATGTGGTCTAGTTGTTGGGAAAATTTACAAATATGAATTTCAACTTTATTTGCAAAATCTCTCTGGAAATTTGTAAAATGGGCATAACTTTTGCATACGAACTCGGATTAAAAAGATTTTTATATGAAAAACATCTACTCGAAAAGTTACATCCGAATTAACCGGCGGAACCCCGTTAAACATTTTCAAAATCCCCAAAAACCTAACAGAAAAAAAGTTACGGGGCTTTCAAGATTTAGAGGCAAAAAAATTCAAACTTACTAGTGGCGCACCGTGGATGTGGTGCGCCACTAGTAACAGAAAAAAAATTGGTTTTGATTTTTTTTGTAAAGATGAGTTTTCGTCTGAAACTCTGATACTTCGAAAGAGATTGTCCCTTTTGCACACGAAGTGCATCCAGTTTTTGCCGTAACCCTTTCAACTTTTTAGCACATGTTATGTGGGTGAAATGATGATACCATGCCAACTTTAAACCTTTTCAGAGTTCATTTGTAGTGCTTTTTAGTTTCAGGGTCATTTAGCTCAAAAAAATAAGTAAATGCATGAAAAATAGCAAATGAAGTCAGAAAGGGTTGAAAACTGATGATCTGGCTTTGAATGGTGCATTTTGAACACACAAAAAGTCTAGAGTTCAAATAAATTCAAAAATATGAAATCCATTTGTAAAAGATGATTTTTCATTCGAAACCCTGATACTTCGAAAAAGATTGTCCATTTTGCACACGAAGTGCATCCTGTTTCTGACATAACGCTCTCAACTTTTTAGCACATCTATGTGGGTGAAATGATGATATCATGCCAATTCTCAACCTTTTCAGAGTTCATTTGAAGTGATTTTCAATTTCAGGGTTATTTAGCTCCAAAATATTAGTAAATGCATGAAAAATAGCAAATTAAGTCAAAAAAGGATGAAAGTTGATGATGTGGCTTTGAATGGTGCATTTTGAACACACACAAAATTGGAGTTCAAAAAAATGAAATCCCTTTGTAACAGATTAGTTTTCGTCCGAATCCCTGATACTTCAAAAGAGATTGTCCATTTTGCACATGAACTACATCCAGTTTTTGCCGTAATCCTCTCAACTTTTTAGCACATGCTATATGGATGAAATGATGATACCATGCCAACTTTCAACATTTTCAGAGTTCATTTATAGTGCTTTTCAATTTCAGGGTCATTTAGCTCAAAGAATGAACTAATAGCAAAAAGTATAAACTAGAAAACTTTTATGGAACTCTGACAGCAAAAAGAATGAACTAAAAATAATCAATTAAAATATTCTGTTATGATCAACTAAAACAAAGCTATATTATTCTTCCATAGCAAAAAGAATCAACTAAAAAACTTTAATAGCAAACTAAAATAACAAAATCTGTTTTTGATAGACATTTAAAATAACCTAAAAATTACCAAATTGAATATAATGATAAAACATAGTAATATTGAATAGCAGGAAAAAGAATCACTAAAAATCTATTTTTATAGTAAAGTTATTCAGAAACTAGTGATTCACATAAATTTCAAAGAATTCAAATTTAAAAACTAATGATACTAACAGAAAGTTTATAATTTTTCTGACCTAAAAGCAAAAAGAATCACTGAAAAACAGTAAGTAAAAACAAAATAAAATAAATAAAGCAAAAAACAAAACAAAAAACTGGAAAAAGATTTTAAAAAAATGCCACCTACTGGGCCACCACGGCCTGAATACGACTAGCAACTCAACCAACTTGTTGGGCCAGGATTCAGGCCCGCAACTTGTTGGGCAGAATCACTGATGGTCATTCATTCCCCCCTTTATGCTCCCACTGATGGTCTTGTTCCCTGTACGTACCCATGTCAAATTAGTTGTTGAACAGGATGGAGACAGCACGAGATCGTTGGTAAATAGCACGTTAATTGGTTAGCTCACCGAAAATAAGCGGGAACGAAGGGAGTTCGAGGGGCCCGTCCGGAGCGGCGACGAGGGCGAGCGCACCGCCCACCTTGAGCAGCTCCAGGATTGGTCCCAGCGAGTGCGCCGCCGGGACTGTGTCGATCACGTAGTCAAGCTTCCTCGCCATAGCCTATGTTGACAGCGTTAAATTGGTTAATTTTGGACTGTATGCATCAGTCACACAAGTGGACTTCGAGGACTGACACACGAGCAATGGCCTTGGGAGTTGATGAGGGGCAATTAGATTAGATTAGGAGGTACCTGCATCTGCTTGTCGTCCGTGCTGATGACGAAGTCGTCGGCCTTGAGGTTCTCCCTGGCCTCCTGCTCCTTGGCCGGCGACGTGCTGATCACCGTGACGTGCAGCCCGAAGGCCTTGCCGAACTTGACGGCGATGTGGCCCAGCCCGCCCAGCCCGACCACCCCGAGCCTCCTGCCAGCGGCGCCCTGCAGCAGCATCCCGTGCTTCTTCATCGGGGTGTACACGGTGATCCCCGCGCACAGCAGCGGCGCCGCCGCGTCCAGCGGCAGGCTGTCGGGGACCCGCACCACGAACCGCTTGTGCGCCACGTACATGCTGGAGTAGCCGCCGTATGTGATGCTGCCGTCCCAGAAGACGCCGTTGTAGGTGAGCCCCAACTTGTCGCAGTAGTTCTCCTGCGAGCTGTCGCACTGCTCGCAGTCCAGGCACGAGCACGCCAGGCACCCCACGCCGACGCGGTCGCCGGGCCTGAACCAGGAGACGTCGGAGCCGACCTTGGTGACCACGCCGGTGATCTCGTGGCCCGGCACCACCGGGTACTGCGTGATGCCCCAGTGGTTCTTGGCGAAGTGGAGGTCCGTGTGGCACATGCCGCAGTAGAGCACCTTGATCGTCACGTCGTCCACGCCGTTCTCCCGACGCTTGAAGTTAAACGGCACCATCTTGCCCCGACTCGTCCATGGCCGCCCACCCGCTCACCTCCTGCGTGTGCTTCGGGCTCACCTCCATCACAAACTTAGTGCCTCTCTAGCTCTCTTGTGTTTTGTGTGTGTGTGTGACACTGGCTCGGGGAGACTGCTGGTTATTGCGAGTCGTGTCTTAATTTCTCTGCAGCATATCCTGGCCACGGCTACTTATAGAGCCTGACGGCACTGCTCAGTGATAACACTGTTACATAAGGTCTTTTTTTTTTGTTGTGGTAAGGTATTCATTTTTTTTGGATTGCTAGTATTCAGTAGTAGTTTATGGGGGTGGTTGCACGGCCTGTAATTTACATGTACTCCCTCGGTTCCTAAATATAAGTCTTTGTAGAGATTCCACTAGGTGGACTACATTCAGAGCAAAATGAATGAATCTATACTTAAAATGCATCTATATACATCCGTATGTGATTCATAGTGGAAACTTTACAAAGACTTATATTTAGGAACGGAGGGAGTATATGTACAAGTTGGTGGTTGTTATAGCTTTAATAAGATTCTTGCTGTCTTTGGTGCTGTCTTTGAGTTGTGACTATAGCATCTCCTGGTCACGGTTCCTTATAGATTTTGACGCCCTTTGGTCACTGAAAGCTTGGTTTTGGAGGCTATCCAGCAGTTTATATAAGTGGTTGTATTTGACCAGTAATATACATTTGTAACGTAAAAATATAGTTAAACGAGTGGTCGAGTTGATGTTTCGCCGATAAGCTTGATAGTTATGATTGCTAAAATAGTACTTCTTCTTTCAATTTTATGTTAGAAGATTCCACGCCAAATTTCATGAAAAACACAGGGCTTACAATAAGTATTTAAGTTCGACTAGTAATCTGGCTATAGAAATTGACAAAGGTCGTTCTACCAGCTCTATGCGCCAGTTCTTTTCATCTGCAAATTCTTCATAATTATATTCTGGAAACTTCCTGCAAAATCAGTCGCTTGATTCTTTCTGAGGGTTGCAGTCTGAGTTTGTGCTATGAGTTGTGTGCTACGTCTACTGGTGGGTAGACCTCTATCGCCGTGTGACCGCCGCTGCTGAAGAAGGTAGAGAGCAATACTACCCGACAACGTGCACATGGCGGACCGGGAGCCGTGTCGAGGCGTTAGCGGTCGACGTACTGGACGGCGGGAAGGCAGGTCAGTGGCTGGTGGTCGAGGTCGAGGTGTGGACATCTCGGGAGGTGGGTCGGGAGATCTTGTGTGAGTGGTCAGAATCATGGATTTTGGGCGATTTTGAGAAACATTGTAATTTTGGCTTGAGTCTCAGGGATTCGGAGGGGGTGGGGGGCGGATCAAGTTCTTTTGTACTATTGATTCCCAAGAATCGTGGCTCTATATAGGGATTGCCAGGTCCATATTAATCCTTGTCGATATATGGTTGCTAAGCATTCATGATTCATCTTATGTTTTTTTTTCTAAAAAGAGGGTTTTCCCCAGCCTCTGCATAGAACGATGCATACGGCCATATTATTAATAAGCATGATTTATCTTATGTTGATGGTTAGCAAGTTTGTGGAACAAATGCATGCATATTATACTGAACGTTAATCAATGCACACATGCATACGCACGGCTACCATGTCCACGAAAACACACTGGCCATCCCATTTTGGCATAGACTTGATCCGGGCATCCGGCCAACTGGACTAGGTTTTCTACGCACCTGTTGGACCTGTAGCTACTGTGCTGTTGTATATAAAATACAACGATTTGGATCCTTATCTGGCCGGCATCTGCAGTTCATGATTCCTGCATGTGACGCAATCCGTCAGATGTAGATATTGGAGTATATCCACATGGCATCATGACAGAGGCGGAGCGTTCACACAAAAGAAATGACAGAGGCACATCATGCATCATATTCATACACCTACAATGGTTGAGTAGTATTCCCTCTATAAACTAATATAAAAGCGTTTAGATCACTAAAAGTCAATGATCTAAACGCTCTTATATTAGTTTACAGAGAGAGTATTATGGTGTGTACTCCTTTTACTTTCTTATTTAAAGAGCTTGCACCAACCACGCGGGAGATTTTTTTTAATGCCATGCTCAACGGCCAGTAGGTTGCAAGGCCGGACTGCTATGGCTGGGCTTTGGTCCAGACGAGATTGTAATCCTTAAACTTTTTAAGTAATACAAGTGTTATTTTGTAAAAAAAAACACCATGCTCAACAGCCAGTTCGAGGGCTACAGAATGATCATCGCATGGTCCGTGTAAAACTTTATGTGGACTAGTCCACAGGTAGTTGAGTTTTTCTTTTACTCCAAAAAAAGGTAGTTGAGTTTTTTTTTCTACTAGAAAAAAGGTAGTCAAGAGAAAAGACAGACATGGAGCTGCATGATGTAGTATGCATTGTGTTCGGAGTCAAGAAAAAGTAGAATGAGGAAAGCGCGAGAGATGGATACGACAGCGGAAGGCAAACACTACTCATTCTTTTCCTAAAATGTAAGAAGAATAAATTCAGTTTGCGCTAAAACAAACTATTGTAAGTAGTTTTCTTAGGTTATAAACTATAGCAAGTACGTATGATCAAGTTGACTAGTGAAATTCCCTCAAAAAAATACTAGTGAAATTATAAGAAATTGCCATCTTCAGGAAACAACATGGCTCTCCGGGAGATTATTATGTGGTCTAATGACTAATATCCAATAAAACTACTCCCAATAACATCTTGTATTATAGGGTGGAGAGAGTAGAATGTGTTCTCGTTCTTTTAACACATAGAATGCGTTCTTATGTTTTAGAATGTGTTCTTATGTTTTTTTTAGGGAAGAATGCGTTCTTATGCGGTCTTCAAAATATGCACTGTGAGCGCTTTCAAATGGGCCAGCCCAACTTGGTGGGTATGCACTGTGGGTCGCGATAACTATTGGTTCTTGAGACTCGCACGCAATGCGGCTTTTAGCGAGAAAATGCGCACCTACCAGTGGCAGCCATGGGCCGGTTGATTTTGTGGCTTTCACTGTGTGGTTCTCCACCGGTTTTTGAAAAGATTCTAGAACCTTCCCTAAACCGTTGTTTTCATTTCTCTATTTGACTTCTTCTGTTTTATGTTTCATTTTCTTTTCGGGTTTTAATTTTTTTATTTCATTTTCCTTTTTCCTTTTTTTCGAATCCATAATTTTTTAGTTCACAAAATTTTCTAAAAATCATGAAAAACATTCAAATTCATGAAATTTTCAAATATGCAAACATTTTTAAAAATCTCATTTTTGTAGAAATTAGTGAGAGTTGTTTAATTAGACATTTTTCTTAAATTTGTGATCAATTTTCAGACTCATCAGCATTTATTGAAATTCATGAACTTTTACCAAACTCGCAAACAGTTTTTGAAATTCATGAAATTTTCACAAATTCGTGAATATTTTAAGCTATATGGCCCATGTATTTTCAGTCTGCGGGTTTTGTTTCTATTTATAGGTATTGAGCAGTAGTAGGTTGAGGGCTTTTCCTATTGACGGCCACTGCATTAAATAGGATCACAAAAACACATGGGTAAAGGACTGGGCCGGCCCATCAGTGATGCCCACTGGGGACCTTTATTTTATTTTAAGAACTTTTATGAGGAGTACCCTAAGAAGACATGATCCGGTAGGAGGATCACTTGCATGAAGGTGTCCTGAGAGGCCATATCACGCGTGTGTCACACCCGCAACGATAACGTTACAGGGGCAAAAAAAAAATTTGAAGGCGACTTTATAGGACATCAGATTTTGAAACTAGATGTGTCAGAAAAGTCGCTAGAAAACCGCTCACAATGGGAAACCCAATAGCACATTGCGAGTTGTGACAAAGCAGAATTAGTTTGTCCAGCATAGCGACGGGTGCTTATTTAACGACAATTTGTCGCTACAAGTGACGAATATGAAATTCCTACAAGAGGAGTATGATGGTGATTTGGGCAGCTACTATAGGCCGCTAAGAGCACCTCTCATCTTTACTCAAACCCCAATAAACTATTCTTTTATCTTAAATCCATCTAACGCATTTCAAGATGTGTATAACTCCCAAAAGTTTTTCAAGGTGGCCCAAAAGATGACCTCCCATCCAGATTTTTAGCTTGATAGGCTGCCTTATAGTGGATGTGGACTAGGAGCACTCGGCGGCGACGCACTCCGAAATCACTGTCGATCGTCTGCCTTCTTGGGATGTGTGCCATTGTTGCAGAAATGAATTGTAATGTCTGAATACTAGACCAACGCATATAGCATAGCAATGTGTGCATGTCCGGCGGCATTTAATAAAGTGCGCCTGGTACACCAGAGTACAGAAACAGTGGTTGTGGAATTAACTCGGCTGCGGGAGCGCTTTACGTTTCCCCGCTAGCCCATGTCCAAGTAGTAGCAACTAAACGAACAAAGGGCGCACTGTTCTTCTTCCCAAACAAAACAAACCAAATCTAGCTAAGAGGAAGAGGGAAGCCAGTTCTACGAGCTTGTACCACTAGTAGAAAACGGGCCATTTATCCTGGTTCATGAGGCCTATTTGCCCCTGTTGCTGAACCGAGACTAAAGGGTCGGTACTAAAGCCCAATACCTTTAGTCCCGGTTCGCCCAGAAACCGGGACAGATGGGGCTCCACGTGGCCGCTGCGGCTTGCCCAGACAGGAGGGTCTTTTGTTCCGGTTGGTGCCATCTGTTGGGGAACATAGTAATTTCAAAAAAAAAAATCCTATGCACACGCAAGATCATGGTGATGCATAGCAACGAGAGGGGAGAGTCTGTCCACGGACCCTCGTAGACCGTAAGCGGAAGCGTTAGCACAACGCGGTTGATGTAGTCGTACGTCTTCACGATCCGACCGATCAAGTACCGAACGCACGGCACCTCCGAGTTCAGCACACGTTCATCTCGATGACGTCCCTCGAACTCCGATCCAGCCGAGCTTCGAGGGAGAGTTCCGTCAGCACGACGGTGTGGCGACGATGATGATGTTCTACAGGCGCAGGGCTTCACCTAAG